GGCAGCTCCTGCATGCTGTGCCCGCCCCAGCAGGCCTGCAGCGCCTCGCAGCCCCGGGCGTGCAGCTGCTGGCAGGTGCTGCAGTAGTAGGAGGGCAGGGTGCCTTGGCTCAGGCACAAGTGCAGCTGGTACCGCGGCACCTCAGACAGCGCCAGCACCGGCCCTGCCCCCTCCCCGCCCTCCGGCCGCGGGCAGGCGGGGGCCAGCCCCCACGCGTTCTCGGCTGCCTGGAAGGGCCGGTCGGCGGCGCGGTAGAGGCCCGGGGAGCTGGCCCCGGCGCGGGGGCTGTAGCTGCAGCTCGGAGCTGGGCTCCGGCTCCTGGCGTTCTCAGGGGTCAGCGAGCCGCCGACGCGGCCCAGCTCCTGCCTCAGCGACAGGAAGGAGAAGGAAGCCAGCTCCGGGTCGGCCCCGTCCCCCAGGCCCTGCTCCAGCTCGGGGTCCTCAGCCTCCGGCAGGGGGTAATAGCCGCCAGCAGGCTCGCCCCACAGCTTGGGGCTCCACTCGTAGCTTTGCCGGCCTGCCACGGGGGTGCGGGACAGGCTCCCGGGGTCCCGGTACAGATCGGTGTCTGCCTCGCCGCCGGGCGCCGGAGCCACCCCGAGCTCCCTGCCTCGGGGCCAGCGTGCCAGTCTCTGCAGCCTCTCCACGCAGGCACTCAGGCCGCCGGCGCCTCTGCGCGCCTGGAGCAGGTCGTCGGCAGACACGCAGCAGGGCCCCAGCTGCAGCAGGACGTCCTCCAGGATCTCGCACTCCAGCCGTGCCGCGAAGAAGCCGCAGGCCGCGTGCAGCAGCTCGGCGCCCGGGGGCGGCCGCGTCACCACCAGGTGGTGGGTGTCCCTGCGCTCGTAGCCCAGGCGGCGGAAGCTCCTGGCCAGGTCCGGCTCCGGCAGCGCTGCCCGCAGACAGTGCACGTACGCCCCCGAGAACGTCTGCAACGGGAGCGCCGCATCCCCCGCCACACAGCACGGCCCTGGCCAGGCTTACCGTCGTCCCAGGGATAGGACGGCAGCACCGGCACCTTTGTCCCAGCCTGTGCTGGGGAAACCGAGGCACAGAGCCGGGACACAGAAGGGGCAAGCGGCAGAGCCGTGCCCGTTCCTGTGCCTCTGCAGCCGCTCTGCCCCCATCCTGGGAGGCAGACACGCCAGAGCCCAGTGCTCTAGCTCTCCACGCTGCACCCCGGAGCCGAGTGAGCTCCAGCGCAGCCCCCGCGGCCCTGGGCGGGGCCACCCCAACACCCACCTTGATGGTGCCGAACTCCTTGCACAAAGGGAAGAAGTGCAGGTTGAGGGCGGCCAGCTCCAGCACCTGGAAGGCGGCGGCCAGGCCGCGCAGCGCGGGGAGAAGGCTGGGCCGGCCCCACAGGCCGCTGGCGAGCGCGGCGAAGGCGTCACTGCGCAGCGCGCCATGCAGCTCCGGCTCCTCCAGCAGGCGCCGGCGCAGGGCG